GGCGGGCGTCTGCGGAGGCGGGCCGGGGGGCAACCGGGCGGGCGTCTGCGGAGGCGGGCCGGGGGGCAACCGGGCGGGCGTCTGCGGAGGCGGGCCGGGGGGCTACCGGGCGGGCGTCTGCGGAGGCGGGCCGGGGGGCTATCGCCCAAATTCAGTGTCGGGTGTGTTCTCTCTGTCCCCCTCTCATTTTTCTAGTAGAAGTTGGTGTCGGGACTAAGGGGCTTAGATATTCATATCTTCTCCATGAATAGGGACAAGTACACGCTGGAGCAGGACATCAGGGAGAAGGAGGAAGCTATCAGGCTGAAGTCCGCCGAGGTCCAGGTGAGGTGTCCTGGCCGCTCCTGCCCAGCTCACGCTCTCTCCGTGACCATGGCCGGAATCCGAGGCGGCCTCAGATGAGATGCATGTCTGCACGTGCGCCACTCGAGTGGCTGTAACACGGCCCCCTTCTGGCTCCCCCCCGTGACAGGAGATGCAGAAGGACCTGGATCGGGAGACGTGTAACTTGCAGGAGCTGGAGGCCCAGAAACAGGATGCCCAGGACCGGCTGGAGGAGATGGACCAGCAGCGGGCCAAGCTGGAGGACATGCTCAGCGACGTGCGGCAGAAGTGCCAGGAAGAGTCTCAGATGGTAAAGGGAATCCCCCCCCCCAGCTGGTGCCATGGCTGCCGTAACATCACCACAGGCTGATGACTGGGAGTGTAGCACTGAATGTAGTACCTGTACCGTGATACCGTCCCCCATGTGTCTGCAGATCTCTTCCCTACAGGCGCAGATCCACTCGCAGGAGTCCAGCCTGCAGAGCCAGGAGGAGGAGCTGAGCCGGGCTAAAGCGGACCTGAACCAGCTCCAGCAAGAGGAGGCCCAGTTAGAACAAAGCATTCAGGCCGGCAAGGTGCAGCTGGAGACCATCATCAAGTCCCTCAAGTCCACACAGGAAGAGATCAACCAGGTGGGGCCTCCCTAGCGAGGCTTTTGTCGGGGGGGGGGGGGGTCAGTCCTGGTGCCTGCCATCGGAGGCGCCACAGTAAAAAGGCCGGCATGTGTGCCGCGTCCTGCTGGTCGCTGCTCATCATGGTCGCGCCTGGGCGATTCTCCCCAACTGCCATCGACCCTGGATTGTTCTCTGCAAAGCGCGGCCTTGTTGATCTGCGGCGCTTTGGGTGGTGTTTTTTTGTTTTGGCGTCAGAGTAATTCGTTTACCGCGACTCCTTTCGCAGTGCCGGGACTGTTTTCTGCGGTCGTAGGCGGAGGCACACCCAGCCTGACATCCGCGGTGTTGACGCCGTTAATCACAGCGTGTCGCTCACCTGGCCTTCCGTGCCGGGTAATGCAGGATGCTCTCAAATCAAGATAAGGGTGAGAAAAAAACAAGCGTTTCGCAGGCTTGACTTCGTCAGAAGAGGTCAAGCTGCACTACTGACAGGATCCAGTGATTTTTTTTTTTCTTCTTTCCATTCCCTCACAAAAAACGATTTTTTCTTCTACTTTTGAAGTTCAAATGTGATGATTTTGCGGTGAAGGTGCTTTCTTTCTTTCTTTCTTTCTTTCTTTTTTTGCATATCTTTCTATCCCCAACGTAAACATTACAGCATGGTGACTGCTGTCTGGAACATTACTCTTCAAGTGTTGCTATATTTGTTTTTGTACTTTTTTTTTTTTATTGCCCACTTAAGCGTACAAAGGTGAAGCCCAGGTTAGCCAACTGCGTGTGGCTGATCGGGGCGCTCTGGGATCGTCATGGCGACGCATCTTTCTGACCTGTTAGAATTAGGCATCGGTGTTGATGTTGAAGCGGGAGAAACCCCTGGAGGCCTGATTGGCTAGGTGGACACACAGCACGACTTCCATTAGCTAGGAGGAGAAGTAAACCGTGCAATGGGATTTGCCCTTACAGGAGCAGTGTTAACCTGCTGTTGGGGGTCCTTCTCTGAGCAACGGCTGTCCGTGGCCCTGCCGTCACCCCATTCGGGCGGCGTCGCTCTTTCCTGTGCACCCCCCCGCCCCCCCGTGCTCTCAGGCAGGGCGTGTTGGTTTCTCTATGAGAAGGCTCCACTCTCGGCCTCCGCTTTTCTCACTGCGAGCTCGAGCTCGAGCTGCTGGCCTGCGTGACACAGCATCTCTGTGGGAACAGCTGGTGTTTGCTGGGAGGGGCCCCTGGAGCCCGGGGCCCCTGGAGCCCGGGGCCCCTGCAGCCCGGGGCCCCTGCAGCCCGGGGCCCCTGCAGCCCGGGGCCCCTGCAGCCCGGGGGCCCAGAGTCCAGGACGCAACAGCCCCACAACCCGTGTTGTCTTCCGACTTACCGTCTTAGATAAATTACCTTCTCACTTACCATGTTAGATAAACTGTCTTCTGACACTTAACATGGTTGATACATTTCTCACGGCTACAGAACCCCCCCCCCCCACCCAGGATGTGGCAGAGAGGTTGCTGGAGGTTATGATGCACCTCTGAATGCTATGGAGACTCCCGCATGAGCCTTTGTTGTGGCCCCCATTGGCCTCCATTTCCGTCCCTCGTCCCCAAATGTTTATTATATCGGCGTCGGCACGACTGTTGGGCTGTCGGTGATATGGAAGGAGCTTAAATGTGCGAATCGGAGCCCGTGGTCCAGGCGAAGCAGGCCGCTCCCCCTCTCGCGTGCTGACTGAGGCCTGCCGGTGTCCTTGCAGGCTCGCAGCAAGCTGTCGCAGATCCAGGACAGCCAGCAGGAGGTGACCAAGAGCATCGAGCAGTACAACAACGCGCTGAATGGTGCCCACGGTGGCAGCATGACCAACCTGGCGGACATGAGCGAGGGCTTCTCCGAGAAGGAGAACGGCGGCGTGGGGGTTGCGGTGAGAGCCCTGCCCGTAATCCTGCCCCCCCCCCCCAGGGCCCGCTTTCAGGGTCCTCTGTGATGTCATCCTGCGGCCAAGGGTTTGCTAGTGCGTTCGGCTGGCTGCAGGATCATCTTCACCGTGTGTGATTAGATACATATAACATGCAATATTGTGCTACAGCTTTAGGCAGCAAGTGGGCAGTAACTGTATATTTGCTCAGGAAAATAAAATAAAAAATTAGAACACATGGAAACCAGATAAAGTGTGAGTTTCCTCTGGTCTCCAAAAGGTCCCCAGTACCTCCTTGGACGGCTAGATGAACAAACCTCTCTTCAGGGGCACCCCAGCCATTACACCATCAGCTTACTTAAATTATTGAAATGACTCGGTGAGGTATTGATTAGCCAAACGACGTGCTAATTCTGGCATCATATATGTGTGTGTATTAGGTAGAAAAACTGAAATGGCTCAGCTGACACCCTTTGGTAGATCATCTCCTCATAGTTTTACAGCAATTAATATACAACATAATCATTTTCTTTGCCTAAGACTTTTGCACTGTATACTATAAATTGACAAAATACTTATAAACAGGGAAATGTTATTGGCCCATCCGCTCAGTGACACTGGTGTGCTGATGTATTTTTGGCGGGAATGTGTACACACTACGTTTTATAGAGTGACTGATTTAGGATCTTGATTCACAATTGGCGAGACGGAAGTGTGAAGCAAAAGGCAGAGAGGCAGTAAAGCTGAGAGAGCTGACAGACGTGCCGTGGTGGTGCGAGGCGTGACCTGAGAGCCGCCTGTCTCGTTCACACGGCGGCATTCTCGGGATTCGGGATGCTACCGCGCCGACTCTCAGTGAAACGGCATCTCTGAGCAGCTACCACACCCCAGACCGCGATCCTCACTCGCTGCCTTCATCGTCGAGCCCTTCTGGCTCTGCCGGCTGTCTGTCTGGCCGTGGGTTTGCGTGTGTATTTATGCCATAATTAAAATCCCCTGTGATTATGTTAAAGACCTTATGCTTTCTATGCTCCGACGGAACTAAATAAACCAGCACTTGGGATCGGCGTTAATTCATCACGCCCGTCCCGTGTTGACAATGTGGGGGGTGTCGGCCCGATGCCACCTATGGGTCTCCTGTGAGAAACAGCTGAGTTTACCGTAATGTGCGGCGAGTTTGGGGAATCTGACACCTTGTGCCAAGCGGGCCCTTGATACCGCCGGGTATAATTCGGGCCGGCTGAGCGTGGCGGGAGACGCGAATCGCACGGGAACGAAAACTCTGCCGACGTTATTTTAGCGTAATTTAAGCCCGTGGCTTGCTGCTGCCCTGCGCGCCGTCCTCTCATTCACCGCATGCCGGCTGAACGCAGAGTCACAGTTTTTTGCCGTTTTATTTTCCTGTGTCGGCTGCTGGTATGCAGCGCAGCCGCACGGTATTGAACATGCGTGTGCAGATGGCATCAGTGTGGTCTCCGTGTTCGCAGGAGGAGCCCTTCAAGGCCAAGACGTCGGCGTTCAGCAGCAACCTGCCGGAGCTGCACACGGACCCCTTCCACTCCGAGGACCCCTTCAAGTCCGATCCTTTCAGAGGTGCCTTGGGTCTTGTCGCCATTACCCCCCTGCCCCCACCCTCTACCCCCTGGCATTTGTGAGGTGCAGACCGTACCCCCTCCACGTAGACGCCCGGTCCTCCCCAGGGAGCGGCTGACTCCTCCCCCCTCTGCTTGCTTTTTCTCCTCTGACACCTTAACTCCTGTTTTCTTTCCTCTCCCGTGTTTCTCTTCGCTAGGGGATCCTTTCCAAACTGATCCTTTTGCCAAGCAGCCACCCACCAGCACAGGTATTCATAGACCCCCCGCCCCTCCCTCCCTTCCCCAGTTTTGCTTAGTAAAGGTCGTCCAAAGTGTCCCTTTTGACACAGAGTCACAGCAGCGCACTTTGAAAGCCTCTTTATTCTGTAGCTTAGAGCAGTGTTCCCCAATCCGGTCCTCCGGGACCCACACACAAGACACATTTTGCTCCCTCCCAGCTCCCGGTAGGAGCAAAATCTTCAACTGTCTGCAGGTCCCCAAGGACCGGATTGGGGAACACTTGCTTAGAGCGTTAAATGTCTTGTATCTACATAATACACAAAATTGCTGCTTCACAAACAGCAAAGTGAAGTCTATTGTTGTTTCGTAATGACTTAACAAATTTGCCATGTGTGAAGAGCTTGAAATGTCCTTCCCAGAGACTCTGAGGCTGAAGGCGTATCTGCCTCTCTGCTCTGTGTGAAGGTACCACTGGCACAAACCGCATGTTATGTTCAGGTATTAGCAAGAAGTCGGTCAGTCAAGCTTCTCGTGCTGTCAGGGGTGATGACTCCTGTGGTTTCTATCCACCGCAGTTGATTTTGCTACTTGAGATGAGCAGGAAGTTTAGTTGCTTGCGGCTCATGGCGGGCAACTTATGAGAATTCGGATGTATGACCTCTTAGTATCCAAAAACGAAGGCAGTTTCATTAGGGCTCACTAGAAGCTCAGCAAAGCAGCGCCGCTGCAGGCTTTCTGACCAGCACAGCACGTAGAAACATTACTTTGTTCTCTGACAAATGCATTAAACTCCTGTTACAATTAGTTAGTTTGTATTGCCTGGGTAATACAATATAATTCACTTGAGCTAGCTAAGTATGGCTCGAACTTGATCACCTTTTCAAAAAGTCTGTTACTAGTAAATGAAACGCATCAGATCAGTTACGGACTAAGAATACTGCCATTGCTATCTGTATGGTTTCTTTTTTTTAAAAAAAACCTTGCTGGTCATTAAATTATGAAATCACTGGTTTAAACTGGGCAGTGGGTAAGGTGGTTCACGGCCAGCTGGCTGGTGAAGGTGCCCGGACAGAGCGCCGGCTCGCTGAGCAGCTCCGCGGGTGGTGTGCGTCCTCGTGAGAAGGAGACCTGGCCAGAGTGATCAGACCGAACTCTCTGCTCTCAGATCCCTTCGGAGGAGACCCTTTCAAAGAAAGCGACCCTTTCAAGTCCTCCTCTGAAGACTTCTTCAAAAAGACTGTCAAGGCCGACCCCTTCACCTCCTCCGACCCTTTCAGTAAAAGTTCCACACTCCCCACTAAGGTAATTATTGTTTTGGGTGAATGTATGTATATATGTATGCATGTCTGTGTCTGTGTGTGTATACAAAAAAAATACAAATATATATATAAACATTTCTTTGATTGGTTGGTTCATTTGTTCCCTCCCAGTCCAGCCACTTTCCCGGAAGTGACCCTTTCACCTCTACAAGTCCGAAACCGAAGGGGCCAGGTAGGCACTGTGGGCTTTGTTGTGTTTGTTAGAGACTTTGCTGTATGCAGGTATGCTCAGGAATCCAAGCATGTGTTCTCTCGTATGCTCTGCTCTGACCCCCGTCCCCATTAAAGCCGACTCTCAACACTGGTTTGCTATTTAGAGTGCTGGTTTACCCATTTTAAGAAAGGCTTTTGAAATCTATGTCATCAAAGCAGTAACATTAAATACAGGAGTATTAATGCAGAGTAAAAGGTGATCAAAGTACTTCAGACGTTTTGATTGGTTGTATGTAAATATACCGGGTAAACATCATAAAATCGTGTCCGTTTCAGGGCGGCCGCTCTGTATCCACGCTGCAGTGCATTTACAGCTACACAGACAAAGCCCCATTCATTTTAAAGCTTTTTTTTAGAGTATGCTCTTTACCAGATCTGGATTCTGTTTCCACGTCGGTTGTTTATGTATCAGGAGAGTGACGTTTGTGCGCTCGTATTTTTCTAACCTTTCGTAATTCTATAAATAGTGTGGTTGTTACTTAAGCAGCTCCATACCGACTAAAATTAGCCAAGGTGGAAACAAAGGCTGCATTGTCTTTCTCACTCCGACGACGGACCCTCGCCCGGCCGTCTGTAGCGAGCTCTGCACAGTGGTTATCCTTCATGCTGGCGGACGGCCGTCCTTGCCGGCTCTGTAGCTGCGACTGTTTTTATGAACAACGTCTGTTTATTAACTGTTGCTACTGTCACCGTTCCGTGAAGAAGTATTTTAGGAGACGCTCAGGGATATGGCCAGACTCTGCAAAAACCTGGAGTTTGCCGCCTTGCGTCTAGGCCTAACTTACAATGGAAATAAGCGCTTGGAAAGAAGAAAACAAAGTATATATATATATATATATATATAGAGAGAGAGAGGCAGTAGCGGGGGGCAGGGATAATGAAAGGGGGTCAGCCCCATGCTGTCAGAGGCACGAGCTATGACATCGTCTGTGTTTCTATGTTTTAGGTGTGTCGCAGTAAAACTATGTTAGCCACATGAGTACCTGTGAGTGCTGGGCCATTATACCGCTCTGCTATAGCCTCGACTGCACTGCTAATGGATGATTTCAAACGGCAAGATTCCATTTGCTTTCAGCTTAGCCAATCAGAGCTGGAGTTAGATTTGTGTTGCCTGGAGAAGCAAATGATCCTGATAGAGATTTCTGAATCTTCTAATTCACCTTAAATGAAATCAATTTGTAGTTAACCCTTAAATATCAGGAAGCTGGCACTAACCGGCAAGCCTTCATTCTAATCGGGTAGCCATTGACCTTTTAGTGTGATCGTTTCTGGAACAAGCTGACTAGCTGTGATTGATAGTGGCCTCGGCCGGTGCGTTGAGCAGAATAAAGGCGTGATGTTTGCTGTGAAGCTGTGCTGTCCTCCTCCCCCCGCAGATGTCTTTGGGACGCTTGACCCGTTCGGAAGCAGCTCCTTCGGCGGCAGCGGGGGCGGATTTGCCGACTTCAGTCAGATGTCCAAGGTGGGAGTACCATGCCGGGGGGGGGCCGGGGCTCTGCCACGATGGCTGTGGTGGCTGTAGAGTGGCGTCATCATTGCGGGTCTTAGTGTCAGGGCACTGCCACGCCCGCCCTGCACTGCCACGCCCGCCCTGCACTGCCACGCCCGCCCTGCACTGCCACGCCCGCCCTGCACTGCCACGCCCGCCCTGCACCTCAGCCATATTGATGTTGCACATATTTTACCAGAAATCTCAGTATTTTTGTATTTTGCATCCAGCTGTTATTGGATACTTACATCAGCCCAGCAAACTCTGCCCCTCTGCCATAGATCAGGGATCCGTTGGCTGCCTTGTTTGGTGATATATACCTCAAATATTACTGAGGTTTGTGATGCCCAAAAGTTAATAATCTGTGATTATTATAAAATTATAACATAATAATATAAAAAAAAAATAATAATAAATAAAAAATGAACTTTGGGGGTGAACCGTGCTCCGGCCCAGTATGGATTGCTGGGCATCTGTATACCCTTAGGGCAGCAGACTCTTGGGGTTTCCCTTTAACACGCTTCACACTGATTGCTTAACTGGGTGGGGAATTTCAGCTGTGACACGCTAGAAGATCCTTTGACTCTAAACCAGAGTTTCTTGGGGATCAGTGACCTGCGGCTGTGCCCCGATTCTGTGCCCTGTGGCTGTGCCCTGCGGCTGTTCCCCGATTCTGTGCCCTGCGGCTGTTCCCCGATTCTGTGCCCTGCGGCTGTGCCCTGCGGCTGTGCCCTGCGGCTGTGCCCAGCAGCTGACGTGTTTCTGCTTCGATCTGATCTGCTGCTGTTTCTCCCTGGCAGGGCTTCTCAGAGGACCCCTTCAGCAGGAAGACGGACACCCCGGCGTTACCGCCCAAGAAGACTGTGCCACCACGCCCCAAGCCTCCCAGCGGTAAGCAGCAGGGGCAGCCAGCAAGCTGCCATGTCCCAGGAAAGGCAGGGCACTGCACCGGCAGAAGTTCAGGCCGCTGTAGTCGGGGCTGCTCACTCAGCCGTGAGAGGTGTCCTTCCCGTTTCTCAATGATAGCGTCTGTGCAGCTGGAGGCAGCGAGCACGTGGGTGCGTGTGAACAGGCGTACAGCGTGTTTCTCAAGCTCCTCACAGCAGCCCTTCTGTCATCCTGATGTCAGCGCTCTGCATGCAGAGGAGGTTTCGAAGCAGCACAGAGCAGCATCTCAGGGCATGAGGCACATCAATCACTGTCTACACACTTTTTAAAATATTTGTTTTGTCAGATATGGCAAGGGGGGGGTCCCCCATCGAACTGCTTGGAACTTGCACAGGAAGAAAATGGCAAATTCCATCTCTGATTTTTTAAAACTCAGATATCATGTCCCCTTTCTCACAGTAGCCAGTTTAGACATTTTATTAAAACCAGGATTGAGTAATTCTGCCCCTTAGAATTCCAGCTGATTATCAGATGAATTAAATGCACAGTCACTTCTTTAGGGATGCCCTGGCTTTCTGACAGGCTGGCCTGTGCAGGAGAGATTCGGTATTTTCCGTCAGCTGTGTATTTGCCGACGTCACCACGCTTCCTACAGCTCCGTCGCTCCCAGCCACTTCCCACGTCAGAAATATTGTTTCTGCAGATCGGAAGTCGCTCCGGCTGCCTGTGTGGCTGTGGCCCAGGGTTCGAGAGTGCAGCCTCAGGGAGCCCTGCCCCGGTTCTGCCTTAGAGGGGGCAGATACTCGAATAACATCTGCAGCATTGCGCTGGAAAGAGCCCTAATGGAAACGGTGTGAAAGCACCTTTTTCAAAGGTGTAAGAATATATATAGGCGTAAACAGGAAAGGGCCACTTCTCTGATAAGGCTACAGAACAGCGTGTGATTATTTTTCCCCCCATGTTTCACGATCAAGAAGAGAGTCTTCTGGTTAAATGGTCCATTTGCTTTGAAAGCTACTAAATATGTTCAGAACTGAGTAATTCCACCATCAGGTAAAATGCATAGATTACCAACAGAATATTCAAAGTATTTTTTTCAGTTAACTGCAGATCGATGGTGGCAGAATCTGATTTTAATATTTATCGTATTTATATTGGTCTGCTTGTATGTTTTATATTAAGCTATATAGATATCTTTGCTTAATATTCTTGATTCATTTTATTATTTTTATTCCCTGAAATTCATTTAGATATCGAAAAATGCCTTTTAAATGTTGCGGATTTGGGTTTTGAAAGAAGCCTAATGTGATGCTCAGCCGCCGGGACTGATGTCGGGGTCGGAGGGCCCCGTGGGGCCCGCGGGGCCCGTGTGCTGAGCGTGCGTCGCTTGGCTGAGTCGGCACGCGGCACGGCACACGCCAGCATGAGAAAGCTGGGCTGACGGTTTGCTGAGAGCAGCCGCAAGCAGGAAGCCGCGTGGGTGTCGATTGGGGGAAGATCTGCGGTGCCCTAACGCAGAGATGTGGAGCCCCACCCTTCGCCACTTCCTCCGTGCACTTTCACGGCACCCTGCTGCCCCGTGTACACACACACACACACACACACTTCTCGGGCCTCGAAAGGCTGCCACACGGATGCCTGCGTTCACGCTGTTGTTTGATCGATCTTTCCTTTCTTTCCTTCTCCCCCAAACATAACAGGAAATCATGTTTAGCTGAAGCAGAGGACAGTTTAATGGCGTAGGGAGCGTCCCAAAGGTCATGCACTGGTTTGCAAGGTCCCAGTGCAGTCCCTGTCCTGTGCATTAAGTTTTCTCACTTGGTTACTCAGTCTCTGTCTTCATCGCTGTCCACTCTCACTGCTGCCTGCAGACGCTTTCAGTAACTGTCCTGTAACATGGTGCATTAAGCCGCACAGTTGCACTCCTCTGTTTGTTTGTTGTTTTTTTGCTGGGTCGGGCTTCTCGGAAGGTTTCGGCGAGTTTGTCTTCTCATCGTTGTGCCGCCTCATTTGCACACGCTCGATTAAGGATGCTTCGTGATATTTTAGGCCAGGGTGGAGCTCATTGCGGTGAAGTGTTTGCCTTTATGTGAAAGAGAGAAACTGATTGCTTGACTGCTTTGTTCTTCTGTGAAATGTTAGCCAAGCTTTTGTGTATAAATACCTGCTCTATTAAGTGTGGTTATAACACCTTCTTAAAGAGAAGCAACCTTCCCATGACAGACTGAATCACCCCCCCATCACCTTTTGGTTCGTTAGTTGTGCACATTGTGCAATTGACTAAGTGCAGTTTCAAGGCTCACCTGATCTCAAATGGGTGATAAATGAGTGCTTGTGAAAACTGTTATAACGTGAAATCCTGAAATGTGTGAGTTTCCGCTTGTCTCAGTGCAGCTGCCCGAAGGGGGGAAGAAAAGTCCTAGAATTTGCTGAGTTTGGTGCTGTGCAGTACGACAGTGTCGTGGCAGACCTGCTCTGTGCCGGTCAATGGGCTGGCACTCGTTCCTCAGTCCTGTGGCTGTTGAAAGCCTTGTTGAGTATTTTATGTCTTCAAGTGGAGTTAAAATGATTTCGCAGAAAGAATATTCCCTTTGATAGGGAAGGTCGGTTTGTGTAAAGTGAAGTGCTGAGTGTGGTTTTGGTGCCACCACGAAGCTGCAGAAACTGCTGTGGTTTGCAGGGGAAGAGCAGGCCTCCCGTGACCCTCCGCTGCAGGTCTGACTGAAGAAAACAAGATCACAAAAATGTACCGAACCTAAAAGCGTTACAGGCAAAAACTAAGCAAATAGAGTAGCTTCTGAGTGTTTAAAAAGTAAAAGGCAGGCAATCAGTGAAGCAAATCCTGGTGTTTGTTTCAGTTTACAGTGCTGACACACTGGAGGCACAGGGGGGCTTGTGGGTAATAATAATAATTGTTTTTTTTTTCTTTTTCTGATCCTTTCAGGTAAAACCACTCCAGTAAACCTGCCCAGCACAGGAGATTCGTCCAAGTCGCGCGACCCCTTCCAGCCATTTGGTGGCGATGCCAGTGACCCCTTTCAAAGTAAAAAGGGCTATGGAGACCCCTTTAGCGGGAAAGACCCTTTCGCACCTTCCTCCACAAGTAAAGCTTCTAAAGACTCTTCCTTGGGTTTTGCAGACTTCAGCTCTGTAAGTTGAGTTCAGTGATACTCTCTCTGTCCAGTCCACTTTTTTGCTTTCTGCCTTTAGTGATCATGACTTTTTTTTTATTTTTATTTTTACTTGAGATATCTGCAGCAGAATGCACCACCAGTTTCTGCGCTTTCACTGCACCTTGCGCACCAGCGAAACCTCCGACTCCTTCTAGGTTCGGATTAAGCTGAAGCCAGGATTAGCTGGGATACACCGGTGGCCAGTTTTTCTTTTTTTTTAAGCGAGGTCACAACCCCCAGTCTCGTGTAACCTCTGGTGTTAACCTCGCGGGCCTTGCGAGTGAGGGGTTGTAGCCTTTATAGGCTGTGATGTCCTCTGTAGTCCCCAGTGAAGCTTTGGGAGAGGATTAAATGAGCATTAGGCCTCATCTGCCTCCACGCTGCACATTTACAGACCTCTGACAGTGCAGTGACTCTCTCTGAAGGACCGATCGCCCTTGTGGCTAAAGGCGATGCAGTGAAGTGCAGAGCTTGCAGTTCTCTGTTTCACAGTTCACCCCTGCAGCATAGCGTCAGGGTTTGCGGCGATCGTGTGATTCTGTAATGGCGAGGGGAAGCGGCTGCTTGTCACTTCCCTCTGTGCTGCTTTTGGCACCTATGAGACACATGCTGGTCATCCTGTCAGCGGGAGGATAGTGGTGGGGGCTCTGCTGGTGGCAGGGGGCACGGTGCGGCCCGTGCCTCCAGAACAGCTCCTGGCACCCATGCGAGTCTTTAGCCTGACCAGCTACCCCAGTGAGAGCTGCGAAGGGTGTGTCAGTGCTCTCTGCTCCCATTGGTCAGAAGAGTCACTGGCCCCGCCTCTGTTTCCTTATTCTGTCCCCTGAGTTGTCAGATATGCGTAACCTGATTGGCGAAGTGGCGCAGCCTGGAATAAGTTAGCCAGTAGCCTCCAGGTTTCCTCCACCAAAGGTCCACATGGTTGCCTTTGTGCTTTTTTTTGCGTTTTTCCCTCTGGGTGTCGCTGGCCACACCCACGCCTGTCGAGCACCGCGACATGCAGAGCTTAGCAGGGGGACCCCCTAAAATCGGCGGCCTGTCGCTCCGTTTCCCTTCGCTGGTAGCAGCAGCAGCAGTATCACTACTCAGCTCTCAGTCCTGAGTTTCCCCGGCATGTAATTGGTGTGCATTCCAGTACCATGCAGACGTGGCCCGTCCTGGGCTTCTCCTGCTTTGTCTCTCTCTCTCTCTCTCTCTCTCTCTCTCTCATGTCCCCCCCGCCCCTCCCAAGCTTTTCTGTGTATCTGGGGGCCTTCTGCTTCACCACTTAGCGTTTCCCAGCTCAGCGATGCAGGCTGAGAATGTCCAAGATGGCCGCCGTGTGGGTAACCTTCCACTTGCGGTCGAGCTGTTGGGGTTGGTAGCGGCCTTCGTCTCTGGCTGGGTGGTTAAGCGAACGCCTCCTGGTGGTCCCCGTGAACATGGTCTGCATGTGGAGAGAGTGTAATGCGTGTGCCCCCCGTGATCTGCCCCCCGTCCCCCCTCTGCATGTAGTCACCGTCATTCCCCTCTGTCTGCTCACTCGCTCCTCGTTTATCGCCAGCAGAAGCAGGTCTAGGTCTCTGTTCATGTTATTGTCAGCAGCTCTTTGCCGTCACTGTTAAGTGTCTGTGCTCTAACACCATTTTTCTCGCAGGCACCGAGGCAGGTAAGCCGTCCGTATAGCCGGGGGTCTGTGAGCGTTCGTGTCGCCCGTATGGCCGGGGGTCTGTGAGCGTTCGTGTCGCCCGTTTGGCCGGGGGGCTGTGAGCGTTCGTGTCGCCCGTATGGCCGGGGGTCTGTGAGCGTTCATGTCGCCTGTTTGGCCAGGATGATACCCCCTGACCTGCCATGCAGCAGTGGTCAGGCTGAATTCTCCCCCCCAACAGAGAGATTAGCAAAATCAGACCTTCCCTCTGGTTACTGCAGATTTAATGAGCATATGTGCTTCAACATATTTGGATGTGGTGATACTGTAGGCCGAAATGGCCGTGCATTTGTAGTTATAGTACAGAATATTTATCTGTAAAATGGCTTCAAGACGCAGAACAGCATGTGTTCTCACATATTTAGTCTGAAGATGTCTGTGACACTATTGCTACCTCAGGTTTACTTTTCATCATTTGAATGAGAGATGAAATTTAAAATGTTTCTCCGTTGCCAGTTAAATTCCACATTTAACCACCATTCCACATGGCGTACGTTTGTAGAGGAGACTGCGGGGAGATACTGATATGCAGCCCTGATTCTCTGCCTCTGAAGGCATTTAGACACCTCTGCAAATTGCAAACCGTATAACAAGTGACAAGCATTCCTTCGGAGGTGGCTTTTGGCTTTGACACGGGTCCGGTGGATAAATGCCAGGCTTCACGTTTTCACAGCTGTGGATGTTAATGTAAGAACCTAAAACCAGGCCGGCAGTGAGCTCCCCAAGTTCGGCTGGAGTTTCACGAAAGCCTGCTGAGTTGAACCGGGTGAAATTTGTCTGCACAGGTGCTTCCTAGGAACGTACCGCAGCGAGCGTAGGGAAACAAAGGGTGCATGCGTGTGAGCGTTCGTGTCTGTGCACTCACAAGGAGCCGCTTAAGCATATGAAGGTATGCTTTCTAATTGATGGGCTGCTCTGGTTTAACAGTGTGGTCAACAGATTATTGGTATCTGATATTTGTGACATGAGTGGTAATCAGTTGGCAAGGTTAAAGTCAGCTGATCAGAGACCTGAAACAGCAGGAGCAGTGTGTCGCCCCCCCGTATCCAAGAGTGCAGCTGGTGTCCCCATAACCCAGTCCACTGTCATTCCCAGCATTCCTTGTCTTCCTTTCCCAGCATTCCTGGTTGTTATTCCCAGTGTCCCTTGCTGTTTCCCGACCGTTTTCTTTCTGGATGCCTTTAAAACTCGGACTAGAAGCGCGGAAGTTCAACTTGTGTTGAAATGCAGTGTAATGCCCTACACAGTGATTATGGCGACATCGTCCCATCATAACTGCGGCTTTTTAGGGCCCGCCGATTGGCTCCCGGAGCGAGTGCTGTGTGTAAAGCTCCCATGTCCCTCTCTACCTACCCGTTCCCCCCGTCCCCCGCCACCCCAGTTTGGAAATGAGGCCCAGCAGCTGGAGTGGGCAAAGCGGGAGAGTGAGCGGGCAGAACGGGATCGGCTGAAGAGGCTGAGACAGCAGGAGCAGGAGGATCTGGAGCTGGCCATCGCGCTGAGCAAGGCTGAGATGTCCAACGCGTGACCCACAGCTGGGCAGCCATCACCATCTTTGGGGGGGGTGGGGGGGGGGGGGGGGGCTCTGATCTGTGAATGAATGTGGTATGCGCTGTATAAACTGTACAATAGTAGTCAAGTGATGTTTTTAATTTAAGAGACTTTTGTTTTCTGTGTGGTGGTTTTAACACCGGGCCCATGAGAAGGAGGGAATGTGTCAGAGCGCAGGGAGAGTGCTGTGCATTCCTATTGGAACCGGGGAGGGGGGGAGGGTTCCTATTGGAGCCGGACTGGGGGGGGAGGGGGGGGGGGCTTCATTCTCTCGCGTGAAATGGATCATGCAAGTTTGTTGACATGGATAAGCAGTGAATGAGAAATCAGCCTGTGAACAAATTGTACAGATCTATATTTTTTCCTTCAGTGTTTGCAGGCGTCTGCATGCTGTAGATGCCCAGGAACTAAGGAAGGTGCTGTATGTGTTTGAGGTCGCAAAGGCTGTTTGAACATGTGAAGGTTTCCTAAGCAATTTTAAAATACTATTATATACTGTGTTAAGGGGACATAGTGTTAGGGGGGGCAGACATTTATGGGACTTTTGGAATATTTTTACTTTTAAAGGTTAACACTTATTTTTTCCAGTTTGAGAATCCTTATCTCTTATTTTTTGGAAGCTTGACATATCTTGAAAAGGGATCATTAAAAATATGTAATGTGTATATTAATGTCTTCCCCCGCCCCCAAGTGCTGGTTGTAGCGTTTGCAGGAAGGCTGTAACTGAAATCAAGCACAAGCTTTGAGCAGCCATGAGAAAGTCCCTCTGAAAATGGCCAGAATTTCATTCTTACTAGTCATTAAGTATTTCATTTCATCATGGGTTTTCCCCCCCCCCAACATGCATTTCAGTAGTGAACAGAGTGATTTCACGGAATACGTTATGTTGCATCGCTGGAGGCTCGATCATGATAGTGAGTAGGGGGGCGCCCACGCTTTACTGCGTGTGAGATCTCAGCCAGTTTGAATTGTCTACTACTTGAATATCGTTTTATGGTACTGGGTGGGGCATCTTTAAGTCCGTTCGGTTAACGAGTAGCTGCGTTTTCATCGAGGGAGATGGAAGGGAAGGAGTTGCTGATGCCTTTCTGCTTCGTCTGCTCTGTCATCTGACCGCTTGACGTAGGACCGCCCCGCTTCGCTGAGCCGCGCGTGAAGCTGCCCTGCCAGTCGGTGCCTCCTGGATGCCTTCGGAGGTTCCTTAGGCACACGGGGCAAAGGCCTCGAATCGTGAAGCCGCCTGCTGCTTTCATGGCTGGAGCTCGCTGCTGCTTTTTACGTCCGTCGCTTCTCCTTCATCGCTGTCATCACTCCAGACGAAACGAGGAGGACCGCCCCTTCTCCAGCGTGCCGCTTCCCAGACTTGCGCGTAGCTGATGTCGCTCTGTGCTCGCCTTCCTTCCGCAGTCTCTTGTTCCTAGTTGTGGTGTTTTAACCACAAGGAGACACCTTCCTGATGCCAATACACTTTGGGTGTTTTCTTCAGTACCAGTGGCTGCTTGTTGCCAGTGGCCCCTCCCAGTCCCTTTAACATCACATTAGAAGTGAAATAACCTGAGCTGACTGCCAGTGCAGCCAGGCCTTACATCTGTGCTTATTTTCCGTTAAACCTTCTGTTTTCTCCCGTTCACTGGTACGAAACACTGACCATGCCTCAGCTTGCAGATGTTAGGAAGCACCACCACGTTTTTAGCGTTTCCCACTAGGCGTGTAACAGTTTTTTTGTTGTCTTTAAATACACTTGTGCAATAGTTTTTATTTCTCTGTGTTTGTATTTGAAGGATAACTGCAGTTTTTATTTTTGAAATACTTTTAAAGATTAGTTTTATCCATTTTTATGTTGTTTTACCAGATGTATTGGTCGACTTGCCATTTCGTACCATCAGACAATAATATAAAGTGGAGTTCTCTGCTTTTCAGCCTTTTCCTTTCCACTGGTCCATCCGTTATTAATCCCTCTGTCCTTCCTGCCTCAAACTACCTGTAGGTTTACCTGTAAATGCCACTGTCATGCCCAAATGCATATGCTGTATACAAACTGTATATTATGTCTGTTATATTGTGGAAGAAAATAAAAATGTGTAACTTAAAACATTTAAAATGATTATAATATTAATAAAAGGCTTGGATTTCTCTAGAATTTTAATTCTCTGTTTAATTCATGATTAATAAAATGTCTGAATCTTTTCTTAGAGATTGAATACAAATGAGAGGGATGAGAAACAGTGTGTGTGTATATTATAATTATGTAATGTTCAGTAATATATGGCTCCAGTGGGGTACAGTGGCACTAGGACAGAACACTCTCCACAAACAGAAGGTGCTGTGAACGTCAGCATAATGAAAGGCAATATTTACATATTTACATGCAGTTTGTCATTGGTGGTTGTATGTCTGTATTCCAGTTATCGAGTTACCAAATTGTCCATATGTGTGCCTGTGTCACAGTATATGGTGTGTGTGTGTGTGAGTGAGAGAGAGAGAGTGCCCTGCGATGGGTTGGTGCCCCATCCTGGGTTGTTCCCTGCCCTGCGATGGGTTGGTACCCCGTCCTGGGTTATTCCCTGCCCTGCGATGGGTTGGCACCCCGTCCTGGGTTGTTCCCTGCCCTGCGATGGGTTGGTGCCCCATCCTGGGTTATTCCCTGCCCTGCGCTGGGTTGGTGCCCCGTCCTGGGTTATTCCCTGCCCTGCGATGGGTTGGCCCTCCATCCTGGGTTGTTCCCTGCCCTGCGATGGGTTGACGCCCCATCCTGGGTTGTTCCCTGCCCTGCGCCTGTAGCCTTCAGGATAAGTTCCAGACCCCCCGTAACCCTGAATGGGATGAGCAGTTACAGGAGATGGATGGATGGATGGCTGTATCCATACCTGCTTAACTTTATGTGCCTTTGTACACTTGGAATGTCCAGTAGATTGGCTATGATTCTGAATGAAACTTTGATTAAACTGGTTAAATTTTATGGTTTAAAAAAAATTCACCCAGAGCAAGTGTGGGTTCATATAGAGGAGCAGAGTATATTTGAGGATGCAAATTTATTGAAATCCTAAATTTAAGTTTTATTTCCAACCTGCTGGTGCAGCGGCGACAAGCTCGCAGGAGAGCAGTCATTTTGGCCACATTCCTGCTACAGCTTAATGATGTAAAGATGGCGGAGGAACGTGTGGGGTATCCCTGAAGGGTGGCAGACATGGTGAGTCAGGTCTGCCTTAGTCAGCCCTGCGCTGGGGCCTCTGCTGTCACCGTGCTGCTGCTAACGCACTGCGATGTGTGGGTGCTGTCGTTTTCTGTCCCCACTGTCGGTCACAGTGCTTCCGATTACTTTTCATTGCTGTTTTTCATGTGGGCTGATGTCGATTACAGGTGCTTCGCCTCTCATGCTTAGTGTAATTTCCATGGGTTGTGTGAGAAAATTTTCAAGTCGGTAAAGGAGACAGTAGTATATTGTGTTTTTTGGAATTGCCCAAAGTGTTCTACAGTGCAGTTATGGGATCCGTAACGGTGAGTATAACTGAACCACAATGGTCAATATTACTAATGTGATTTTCCTGAACTCTTAAAAGAAAAATATTGAGTGATAGAAGCTTATCTGTAATTATACAGATGGCAAATTTAGATGTAATTTGAAGGCAATATTTTTGATAACAAGATAATCTTATTGCTTTGGACACTCTGAGAGCATTTTAATATGTTTGCTCTTTGCATATTGTTATAAATAATGTGTCTCGACACAGTGGTGTGTGAACTGCAGGACCCAGAATAGAGAGAAGTAAGAATGGTTCAGCATTAACTTCATAATAATGAGCAATACTAATTAATTCTGATGGGATTACCTGACAACATAAAACGTGTGAGGAAGAGGATATCCCTACCAAGACGAAGCTGGTAAACGTGGCGACATCTCTCCTACTTCTGCCTTTACATGCTGACAGAAACTCAATGACCAATGACATGCTTACTGTTTGTTCTGTTTTATTTGTCTGGCTTTTCCTAAAAAAAAAAAGGTTTTAAAAATAATTCCAGCAGATGGCACACTTTTTCCATGATATTCCTGCTTTTTATCACTGACGGACTTGCATATCGCTCGCAGTGTTTTGATGCACATTGCGATTGAAAATGCACTTAATGTAGGATAGTCCTTAAATATTGAAATGTATGTCTAATGTGAGTGCTCTGAAAATAAGTAGTAATACAGCAGCACTGGTGAATGCAGTGAGAATGAAGTTGGTCTTCGGGTGCAATGAGAAGGTGAATTTCAGCTGCCAGTTTAGGCCAAGCTATCACAGAGATGCACTGCAACACCACAGCCAACGCACAGCGTCTGCAGGAATGTGAGCCCCTTTGATCTGCGTGTCATTTTACACGTGGTTTCTAAATTCATTTTACAGCATTTTATTATAAGACCGAACCCCCACCCCTGCCGAAGTCTTCTGTTTTTATTGCCTGCTTTTTGGTTTTTATTAACCAACGCTGGATTACTTATTAAAACTCTCCAAAGTCTAGCTTTTAAAATCGACTGCTGAAACGTGCTATTTCTGCTCTAGCTAGCAGTGGTGACATAACAGGGACACTGTCCCCTTTGAATTAGCTTTCTTTGGATCGTAATGCATTCATAGGCTTTAATATTGGCCACCACAATGCCATGTTTCATATCTGCATGATTTCCCCCAAATTTGACTCATTCATAAGACAGTGTCGCGTTGTTTAACATTAGCAAATAGGTAAGTAAATATCTTGTGGCTCAGATGTTGCTTTGGAGTCGATGATGAATATGGTAATTCTCTTCATTATTTCTGGTCCTGTGTATACTGTGTATTAGAGGTAACCAGTATGTCTAATGTATCCTGAAACAATCTTGTCCCTTACAGTCCTACGAATTGTGTATGCCAGTTCCTAGTGCAGAGTGAACACTTCGTTTTTTAAATGATAGCTGTGTCCAAGACGGCAAGTTCTCCCAGCGCTATGCTCCTGTGAACCTGAAATGTGCAATGTCCAGTAAATCTGCGGTTCTGGTTAAGATGGGTGATCACATGATGTGTTCACCTTAAAAAAAAAACAAGCAAATGCATGTGTAGCTGAAGCCTTGTCTGTATCTGCGTGGAAAATCGGCCGCTGCCCCTAACCTGAAGGCCACGGTTCAGATGGTACACACTTGCGAGTGAAAGTTGTAGTATGGCTTTTTTTCTTTTAAAATAAGAGAAATGAGAGTTCTTTATTTTTCACTTGACAGA